ACTTAGGGACATCAAACAAGATATTATTAATTACTAATAGACAGGGGGCCCCAAAACAAACAATACACTTAAATCAATAAAATTACAATGTTATGATAAGCTTTTTGACCTGGTCCGCCGTCGATGATCGGTCTACTTGATGGATGGGCAACAAGCCAGCGGCGGCACGCAAAGGTATAAGCGGCGGCACGCAATGATATACCGGTGACACAAACCACGAAGTTTAACAACTCGACGACTCAACACAGAAACACGTCGGTTGTATGTACAGGTGGTTTGGTCGCCAAAGCCCAGTGAAACGCGGCGAGCGAACGCAACGATGCGTCGGGCTCGACCGCCTGGAAAAGACACACGACCGCGACGGCGGCAAACGGCCCGGCGCTGGACGGCCGAGGAGGGGGTAAGACACCTCGTGAGCTTCGGCATCCGAGGAGCAGCTTTGGGGACATATGCCGAAACTACGGTGGCGAGAAAACGCGCCCGTGTTCGAACAGTCACTCAACATTCAAAATCAAAAATTAACAAAGTCCTTACATTATCCAATAATCCATAACTAATATTTTTTTATCAGAACATCATCACAATAACAAATTTAAAATATACACATTTTCTTAATTTCACTCCTATCCCCATAACTAATATTATATATTATTACGTTTATAAAAATGTTGGGTTTATTTCATGGTTAAAAAATGTACAACAAATTGTTATAACACATTTATAACACGTTTTGTTATCAATACTAACCAAATCATAATTAATAAATCATACTTGAGTATATTATTAATTTAAAGTAGTTAAACAAACTCAACATAATATTGTAGAACTAACTCTATATCGTTAAATAATATCACGTAAAATGTATTAACTTGCACTAAATAATAGCATTTAAGTAGCAATTAAATTATAAATTTACAACATATTATATACCCTATACCAATAATTTAATCTGTCAAAACAAAGTATACAAAATCCAACCCTTATTATGTTCTTCAATGGCACCATACCTTCTGCTCGTCGTAATCGGCGCTTTCGATGCACACTCTATGGAAGTACGACGACGAGGCCGTCACGGGGCCGCCGATCCACGTGGAATACTGGCGCTAGGGCGGATCCCGACACCTCCTTGTTGGGCGATTCTCCTTGGATCATCGGCTTCAGCCGTTCGGGAAACAACTGGAACAGCCTGTTGCCGACAAGGTGTTGTCGTACATGTCGTTGCGATCGTTTACGTTGCAGTCGCCGATCGACGCTTGTATCTGGCTGTGGATCGTGGATGTCGTCCATCTCGATCGAAGAGGGATCTCGCATCGCTTCGGGGGGTCGGATGCTGTATATAGTAGGATTTGGAGAGGCGAAGAAGATTAATCCAACAAGTCCTACCCACAGGGCACACGCAGTCGTCCCGATTTCAGTTCATAACGGGACAACATTTTTTATTTTTTCCCGTTTATCACTCGATATGGGCTTATAAAAGTCTCGAGAGTACCTAAAAGCAAGGCTGGGCAAGTTAGCCATTTTTTATCTCGTTAAGTTAAGTTAAAAGTTAATCGTATTTTTTTTTCGTTAACTTGGAACAAAAAAACTCATCTCAATGTACAGTTAAAATTCGCTAATTTTCAAAAATAAAAAATTCCAGACAATATATGGTTTATTAGATAGTTTTTCGCTAAGTTCTAGAAAATTACTGGGAAAATTTAAAATGGTACATCAAAGTAAAAACGCATTTGAAAATTTGAATTATTTTTTCGGACAAAAATGAACTTATAATGTAGTCAATGTAGACATTATTGAAATGAAATTAACTTGAAGTTAACACGTTAATCTTGAAAAAAAGTAACTTATCAAGTTAAAAGTTTATTTGAAAAAAAATTATCGAGTTAAATAACTTAATCAAAATTAACTTAACGTTTTAACTGTTAATGCCCAGTCTTGCATACTAGGTATACTCATTTATAAATCAGAATACAAATTTATTCTTTCAATTGTTTGTGTTTTTTTTTTAAATATGATCTAATTCAAGGCCGGACATTAAAGAGTTAAAAAGTTAAAGTTAAATTAAAAAGTTAATTTAATTTTAACTTTGGATAGATACCTAAACCGTCATCAATGGAATTTGTATAGTATATATAGAAATACAAATATTGTATAAAATGTTAAAAGGACTTTTACCACTATAATTATATGTTCTTAGAATGGCGTTTATAAAATTAAAATTATTAAAAGGGCCTACACCACATACATTTTTTTTAAAATTAATATAGCATTAAGTATACATTTAGTTTAAGTAATTTAATAAGCAATTTAAGTTCCACGAAGTCTCATATTTATATATTTACATATTTATAAATGAGTGATCTATCTCAAAAATCCGCCCTATTAACATAATACCGTCGATATACATGTGTATAAAATATGTATTATAGTAATGTATAGTGCATATTATTTTTAATTTCATACTTTGTTAATAAATAAATAAAATAATATCGGCTGGCGAATAAACCAATGCTCCAACTAGATTCACTTTCCCGTCGAACAAGATAGGTACTGCAATTGAAAATCGAAACATTAATTCGACTATACATATCGTGTGCACAGGAACAAAAAGAAATTTAAAAAACTTTATAAAACACACATCATTTAAAAATCAATACAATCATCGCGAAAACGGTTAGTATCAGCCTATGATATTACTAAGTATATTTGATTTTGATGATACTAAGTTGAATAAAGTAATTTATATATAACCTACTTAAGTGGAATCTTGTTTTAAATTTTCAATTTTTAGCTATAAGAGTTGAACATTTTATAGTTACATATTTAACTACAAAATTATTATTAAAGTTTGTCTAAATTTGAATTTAAATGATTATAAAAAAAAATTGTGAGTAGGTATGTATTTTTAATATTTTCCAACTGCTATTGTACCAATATATCAGGAGCCTTGCATTAAATGTTTATGCTTTTTTACCCCAAAAAAAAAATTTTATTGATATTTATAGAAAAAAAAAACAGAAAAAATTGAAAACTGACAATGTCCGTAAACAGCTCAAAAAAGGTCAAATTATTTTCAAAATTGTATGGTGTATAGAAAATTCTAATATACGCATTCAATGAAATTTTCATGTATCTACAGTCATTCGTTTTTTAATTACAACAAAATTATAAAATCGTTACACGAGAAATCGAGTGAATATCAAACGTTGTAAAAATATGAATTTCAAACGCTCATAAAAATTTAATATGAGTTTCTTGTAGGCATTTATTTTTTGATAAATTTAGACAAACATATGAGGAACCTTGTATTATATTTTCAAATCTTATATTTAAAAAGAAAACATTTATGAAAACTCAAAATAATTTGCAATTTTTCATCATTCTTACGTATTTGGTCAATATTTGAAATTCAAATGCTTATAAAAAAAAAAAAATTGTAACTATGGAATTTTAATTTTTCTCATCTTCCTTTGAAACAATATACTAGGAGCCTTCTATTAAATTTCTAAGCTTTTTTAACCAACAAATAAACTTTTATTAATATTTATAGAAAAAAAAAACCAAAAAAAACTAAAAAAAAAATGGAAATTGAAAATAAGTCAAAATATTTAGAAAATGATATTGTGTATGGAAAATGCTAATATAAACATTCACTCAAAAATTCATGTACCTACAGTCATTTGTTTAAGAGTTACACCAAAAACCAAAATCGATTTTTTCGTAAACAGATTTTGCTTACAAATTCCCGTTTTTCCTTAATTTTCTTTTGTTTTTCACGGCGCTTATGAAAGCTACTGGAAAATTTTTAATTTTGACCCCCCCAAGTACCATCTAGATTCATTTTCGTATCAGAAAAGATACTGTTGAAGAAAATCCAAGTACTTTTACTGTCCTAAATGGTGATGATAGACACAAAAAAAAGTAAAAATAAAAATATATTGAGAAGTAAACTGTAAACGTGTAATACAGGTTATTAGTAGGTAGTACGAGTTGGTACAAAAGATAAAAGTTTATTGTACCTACCTGTTATACAGTATAATTGAACATAATATTGATATTTAATTTCACAATAACAAACATACTAATAAAAAATAATTAATTACTATAATGAATAATTATTAAGACTTATGAATATAATTCGTGGCATCGATGTCTTCATACGGCTAACTAGTGGCGGGTCTAGTGCTACACTTATATTAAAAATGTATAAGTAACTTATTAATACAATATATTAGTTTTTATCTTTAAACATAAATACGAAGTTCTTTGTAAATACCTATATCTTATCTTTTTTCTGATCATATTTTCTATATTCTGCGAACTTATAATAATATTATTAAGAACCGAAAACCCGTGATAAACAAAATATTTTTCTGGATAATAGGAATATTCAAAATTAACTTAATTGGACAATAAAGAAAAATATCAGTTGAATTTAAGTTAATAAAGTTAATTAAGTTTATGTGTTGCTCCGTCAAAAAACCGTCCAAGAAGAAGCAAAATACTTCTATAAGCGTTTTCATGATCGCCACACAAATCCATTAATCCGTAAATTAGCATCAAACGAAATTCCTGGTAATTCTCACCGACGACTATAAAGAAAATGGTGCAGAGATCTCCTAAGCAAATAATAAAAAAATAAAAAATAAAAAATGAACGGTAAAGTAAGTACCTATTAGTCAAGTCCAGGGAGCGTCATTACTGGGTGGCTACCTCCATCAACCGTTTCATGTCATTGTAAATAATATATTCTTATTGTGCCTCTATTGGTACAGATTGTATATTAGTGTAACGAGCTGTGACTACGTATATATTAATAATAGTAATAATATATTAAATAATATATTATTTTATATTGTTTTAGGTAAAGTACGATTATAATACATAATATATTATGTTCAATAATAGATATAAATGCTACAGGGAGCGCGTAACCCCGGTAATAGTAATAATATCAGCATCCGAGCTGCCACATCGATAAGAACTAATTAATGGTACAGCGCGAACACGTGATAGCTGGTATACGCGCGCAATTTCCATATTCTAGGAAAGACGAAAAAGACGTAAACAGCACAAATAGATAACTTTGGTAACATATATACTAGGTGATTTTTTTATCAAACAACACTCATTATTTCAAAAAGTGTACATTTTTTTGAAGATATTTTTTTACATAGTTTCAAGTCGCTTATAAAACAACGTTTTTATTAAAAAACTATATTTTTAATTATTTTTTATCCTTATAATTTTTTAAGTTTTTTACTTTTTTGAATGACAACATAGGGTTTTAATTTTATATTCTAAAGTAGAATATTTTTCTTAGTATTTTGATACATGAAAATTGAATTTGGTGGCGAGTAGTTTATGAGTTATAAGTATTTAAAGTTTAGACGAGCGGTGAAGTGGACAAACATTTCGCGGGGTAACCCCGAACTACTCCACTCCGCTCGTCTAAACTTTAAATACTTATAACTCATAAACTACTCAACCCAAATTCGATTTTCATGTATCAAAATACTAAGAAAAATATTCTGCTTTGGAATATAAAATTAAAACCCTATGTTGTTATTCAAAAAAGTAAAAAACTTAAAAAATTATAAGGATAAAAAATAATTAAAAATATAATTTTTTAATAAAAACGTTGTTTTATAAGCGACTTGAAACTATGTAAAAAAAATATTTTCAAAAAATTTACACTTTTTGAAATAATGAGTGTTGTTTGATAAAAGAATCACCCAGTATAATCCGTAATTAACATAATTTTCGTAAAAGACGTCAGAAATGACCTCAGGCAGATGCGGCGATGTACCATTTATTATACCAAAAATGCCATAGGAGGGAGCTATTAGGAATACCCGACGAAATACGTCGATGGACAAGTGTCCATCAGACGAGCACCAGCAGAGCAGCCACCAAGTCGATACTAAGTCACAATCTCGTTTACCACATTATTATAAATTAATTATTTGGACTTAGACCATTTTACGTGTTAAATAAATTACAAATAAACTATCATTATACCATCAACTTGTTATTTTATTCAAAATACAATCAATACTGAGTTGAAGTGGTTGGCACCTTACGTTAGTTATAAAAATAAAAAAAAATAATAAAAAAGTTAATGTTGAGGCAAATAATGAGGTAAGTTAAAGTTAAGATAATTAAAACATCGAACTAGAAAGTTAAGTTAATAAGTTAAAATTAACTCAACTTTGAACATAATTTCTAACATATTAATACGTCAATGCCCAGCCTCGATCAAAGTGTTACAACACATTATCATTTTTAAGTACCAAATTATTTATTGTATTTGT